CCCGGGGTGGTAGTATCTGTTAACGTCCCAGCTTTGGGCAAATAGTTAACCCCATCCTGGGGTAAAAAAACGCTATGAAAATGTAAAAATATGTTTTAATACCAGCAATACATTTTTGTCAAAATTATTACCAGCAATGAAATTTTGAAGAAAAAAATTAACAGCAATACATTATTACCAGCAAAACATTTTTGAAAAAAAACTTTCAGCAATACATTTTTTTTTTAAATATTACCATCAATACATTTTTGAACAAAAATATTACCAGCAATAAAAATATTGTTGGAATTGAGGTTGATATGACATGAAACAAAAGAAAACAATCTAAACACTAAAGGAAATTTTGTTTCATTTGAAGTCTTGTCACTGTTATGGTAGTGGAGGTGATACTTAAAATTTATTTAAAGTTTTCGCACTCAGACATAAAATTAGAAAGATAGAGTTGAGATTTCTTAGATAATGAAGAATGAAGTCTTGACAAATTTCACATTCACAATACATTAAAACAAAATGGCAGATTGCAACATCGATTAACCTATTTAAGGAGCTATGTAAAACAGAGATTTGGAGTGATATAAAAAAAAAAGTCAGACATTGTCAAAGGGTAGAAATGATAGGAATTTTTGGAGCGCTATAATCGCCCAAATCATAAATGGAGAGAACTCATAAAAGAAATACATTATTAGACAATAATAGAAGGCTTCGACAAATAAAAGATGCGGGAAATATTGCCGAAAATGTGACAATGAAATCCAAAGGCGCATTAGCGAAATATAACGAGCTGTTACGTAATATCAGTCCTCCTATATGGCAGTGAATGCTGGGCAACCTCCTCAAAGATGAAGAAGAGTCTTGTAGCAATATAAATTATGTTCTACAGAAGGATGCTGAGAATACCATAGAATGAACATCTAAGTAACGACAAAGTTTACTCTTTTCGTTTTTTTTTTAAATTATTTTATGTTCATACATTCACCTTTTTCTTCTTATGCAATTTTCTACATTTTTTTTTACTTGCTGTTCTATTTTCCATCTTTATTTCATTTTTGTGAGCTCATTCTTGCAATTATGCTTAAATGGAAAAATAAAATATTGCAAGAAGGAGGACAAAGTAGACGAAATACGAAACATTACAAGAATAAAAATCTTTCATCTATTTTTTTATTTCTGGTAATATTTTTAAGATATTTATTTTTTTCTTGTAATTTTCTTTCTTCGTCAATTTTTCTTCTTTTTTTTTTCTTTTTGCACATTTGCTTTTTCTTTTCTTCATTCTTTCATTAATTTTATTTCATTCTTTCTTGGCTCTCTTTCTTTCCTTCATTTCATTTTCATTATTTATTTCTTATATCAAACTTCCTTTGTTTGTTATTTCTCCTTTCTTGAACTGTTTATCATTTATTTTCTTTGAATTTTTCATTTATTACTCACTTTTCCTTTTCCTTATTATATTTACCTCTTTTTTCAGTTTTCCTTTGAATTTACGAAATGCGCCTCCTGTTTATTTTTAATTCTCACATATTTTACATTCTTTTAATTTTTACCTTTCATCGCTTTTCATTTTCCACCCTTTTTTTGTTTATTTATCTTTATATACTTTTCTGTATTAAGTTTTTATTATTATTATTATTATTATTATTATTATTATTATTATTATTATTATTCCCGTTCATATTTCACACCTGTATTCTCTTTCAATCTTTATTCTGTTTGCTACGCCATTTTCATCTTGCGAGGCACGAACTTTTTAATACCGCTTTCATTATTTTCTCTTCACTTATTGTTTTTCTATTCCTTATTTCCACGTTGTCCTCAGTGACTTCCGTTCTGATTAAATTGGAGATAACAAAATTAAATAAAAGTTAAAGAGCTGATCATCGACGGATTTCAAAACAGTAAAGCCCCTCAAATCAAAAGAAAATTATCCACAAATCCCACATCACAAGTCATTAAATCTGTTTTCACTTTCACTGACAACAAAAATATTCGCGACGGCGACATCTTCCTTTCAAAAACCCTAACGACTCAACGCGACCTACGAGCTTGTCCTAATAGACAGGATACAGTATCATTCTGGGATCTATACATGTGGTGCATTTAGGGGAAGGAAAATGTAATAAAGATAATTTTAAAGGATAAATCGAAGTTTTAAAAACATCTCACTTGTCTTTCCATCTTCGAGCTGTTGCTAGTTCTGAGAAACATGGTGATTTAGAAGAACTTAAAATCGAACTGGATAAAAGGTGTTAAATAATGAGAAATCAGACTGCGAAACTGACATGTAAAATGGATGACTTATAAACTAAAACTCATACGCATGCGTGCGTTTCTTTTTTACCTACGCATCCGTATCTTACGTGTTTGCTTTTTAGAAGCGATCTCTTGTCAAATGTACACGGATATCTGCTTACAAAGCATAACCGTTATCATAAACATCATCATAATTATGTATTCCCTGAAGTTTCACACCGGTACAGACGGTACTGTTTTGACGGCACATTGAGAAGGAAATAACCAAAATAAATATTGGGTAAATCAAGAACATATTCTGGGAGCAAACCGCCTTCATGCAGATAGATGACGAGCTGAATAGGTTCATAGACAGGAGCGTAAGACAGGAATGTGCCTTCACTCCAGATCCGTTCAACTTAAAAAATGAGGTTATACTAAAAGAACTGGAATCTCTACTAGGAATTATTATCTTGCGGCATCATTTTAACAATATAAGATGTGCAAAGTTCAATTTGATAATGACAGAGATAGAAAGAAAACTACAGGAATTCCGAGACAAGGTAGTAAAGAAAAGCCAGAAAAATGGACTAGCTATCAATTGTAAGAAAACAGAATCTATGGTAGTTAGCAAGATCCGTAAAAAGAATTGGAGATATCGGAATCAAACGAGTTTATACGATTAAATATTTTTAAGCCCTTCACCCCAAGCAGAGCGGGGGTGCCAATAGTACGCAAGGGGCTAGAGAGAGTGAAAATAAAGGAAAAGAATGAGTATAGGAGGGATTGATGAAAGGCTGAAAACAAAGGAGAATAATAATAAAAAATCGGTAATCAAGGCATCAGAAGATGTCGATTGACATTAGATTTAAAGTATTGAAGATTATAGTTGTCAGGAAAGTAAGTAAGATAAAAATAGTTCGACGGTCCTGAAGCGTGAGTGAAGAAGCTGTTTAAGTTGAAGAGGGGGTTCTGGTTGAGTTTAAACAATCGCGACACCAAGATCTGAAAGTGCATCTCAAAAGCTACAAAAATGAATAGCAATCAAGAGAAGTTCGTTCGAAACAAAGAAAAAAATGTTGGACTGTTATGTGATATCAATCCTCTTATATAACAGTGAATGATGAACAATCTCTCCAATGATGAAAAGAAAAATCGGGGCAGCAGAAATGTAGTTATACAGAAGGATGCTGAGAATGTCATAAACGACGCGAGTAAGTAACGAGAAAGTCTTCAAGAAAATGGTAACACAAAGAACAATTATCCTTAGATTAAGAAAGAGACAGCTGCAATGTCTAGGACACAGGATGGAGGTTTTCGAGAACTTAATCCTCACAGGACATATCGCGGTCAAGAGAGATAAGGAAAGGCACCTGGCTACTTCCGTAACGAGCTTGTTTGAATGGGCGGCAGAACGATGGCGGAAAGTTCTACAAAGGGAGAAACGTTGTCAAGGGCCACGATGGATACAAGTTTGTGGACAGTTATGATAACCCATGTCATGAAGGGCACAGCACAAAGCAGAAATAATGCAGGAAGCATGAAGAGATCATTGAAGGCTTGGTGAATTCAATACTCATATGACAAATCTAAGTTCAATAAATAAAAGAAATTAATAAATATCCTAATTGCCAGTTCTTTTAAGATAAACGGATAACAAGGAATATGGATCATATAATGGAAAATATTGCACGAAAAAAGAAAACAATTGAGGACTATGATCTTAACTTATTCCTGTAAAGAAATGTTACATAAAAATGTAGTTGGTAGCTTTCATAGGATACCAAATAATAACATCTTCTTTTCCATGTTACCACGGATGATTTTAGTATTCGTTTTGGGGGTTTAATTTTTCCTCAAAATTTCAGTTTTTCTATCCTGTTAGAAAAGTTTTCAGGACTCTTTGATTTGAACTTATATTGATGATGATACCTTTTTTCAGCTCTCATACAAAGTACAACCATTTAGCAATTTAAAATGTTTATCAATTTTATTTTAGGTCTGATGTAAATATGACGTCGTCCCCCCTGGTCGCAGCGTCGACTGTGTCGTTCGATCCCGTTCGCGACGCCAGCTGTTCGCTCCTCGCTGCTCCAAGTGTGACGTTCTAACCCTTTGGCTAGATGAATACCAGCCTCATTGTTCCCAACCCGCTTCCAACGCCTGGTTACCAGGGTAACTACACTGATCTCCGGTCTGTCTACCCACGTTGTGATTAGATCTTAGACAGACGGGATCAAACAGGGATTGGGCCGTATGCAAGCTGAGTCCAACGGGGGTGATAACACACAAGAAAAATAAAAACTCACAAGGTCAAAAATATTGAAGAAAAAGGTAACAACTTTTTATATCTAATTGTTCGTTACACAAGATTATTTCTACCTCCCGACCCGTTCTGTGGACCGTGGCACCAAGCTTCTACCATACAACTTTAAGGCTTCGAGTTGCTCTCTAGAAATTTGCATTTCGGGGTGTGGTTTGGTTTCAACACTGGGCGCTGATCTCTACCTGTCGTTCACGGCTGATTTCTCTCGCCGTCCGTGGCTGCAACTAACTCTCTCTTCAGAGTCTGAATTATTGTTCACTCATCTCCGCTGTCAGTGCGCGAATTAACTTCTTCTCTTCGGCTTCGGTTGGACGAGCTTATTCACTTCGGCTTGGGTTGGACGAATTTCTTCACTTCGGTTTGATTCCAACTTCTCCACTTAGGCCAAACGGACCGGCCTTTCTTGCCGCAAAGAGGACGAATGAACAGGGCCCGCCGTCCGCGCTGCAACTGATTTCTGTCGGTTGGGGTCCCGCTTTTATTGAGGCAGTCAAAAACTGGGGTGGGTCTGTCGGCGCCAGGGTTTTCTTGATAATTCTAAAGACGTATTATTTCTTATTAGGGATTTTCCATTTTCGGTAACTTACTTTCACTCCTACTTCATTACTGTGCCTCTGGTGGGGGGGGGCGTATACCCGCTTCCCCTGGTCCTTCGTATGTCAGGTGACCGCTCTCGACCAATGGGGTCCTGGTCGGGCATCTTTCCTCCTCCCTCTCACATCATGTGACCGCTCTCGGCCAATGGGGTCCTGGTCGGGTGTCTCTCCTCCTCCCTCATGTATCATGTGGCCGCCTTCGGCCAATGAGACTCTGGTCGGTATCTTTCCTCCTTCCTTCGTGACGTCTTTAATCGGGCGTGGACAATCCGTGGCTTTGTTCTGGGGGTGGAAACACCTTGCTTAAAAAAAACATAAACATAAACTGCCCTTTTCGTATGTGACCGAAATGACGATCCCGGTTTCTTTTACACGAGGTATTTGTCAAACATCCTATCGCTAATTGGATACGATCTAAGAAAGGGATTTCTTAGACCTGTCGGCGTTTCTCTGAACGCAACAAAATATTTCATTCTCCTCCGGCCGATAATAAAAATCTGTATTATCTCAAAAAGCGACATCAGCCTGGGTGGCGTTAACGTGAACTAATAAAAATATTTCACTTTTTCCCTTCGCTCGGAACTTGACAACAAAAATCTTAATTATCTCAAAAAAAAAGCATTTTCTAATCATCATCTTGTGTGACTGTATTTTCAATTCTGGAATTGTCTGGGTTCTCGTATTAATGGATTGTCTGTATATCCTTAGATAAACTTCCCACCTGTTACCTATCGTATTTTTTTCATTGTCTCTAAACTTTATTTCTTCAACCAAATTGATAACAAACTTCCGTCCTCCGCGGACACGGAAGTAGGTCAGGTGCTTGACCTGATATTTTTGACATTTGATATGTGCCAGTCGAGCGTGTGTGTTTTCGCTTACGACCTGGTTTCGTATTATTTATTTTTCTCCTTTCTTTCCTTCCTTTTCTTCTTCTTTTCTTTCTTTCTCTCAGATCGCCTGAATGTAAAGAAAGAATTATTCCTAACCCCGAAATATTTTTCAGCTCTAAATAATTATCAAATGGTTAACAAACCGAAAAAAAAACAAATCATATATTTATGAATATCTCTTTTCAGTTTTCTAATTATGCATAGTGCCACAAACTGATATAATAAAATAATTATCATCATCAGGTTGAGAATACTTCTGACTCGTTCCTTGCAACCATCTTTGTCAGACATGGCTGTCTTCAGGTCCTCCAGATGGCATTCAGAATCATCTACAAGTTGGTCAATGTAGTTGTGATGAGGTCTTCCAACCGTTATTTTGCCGCGCGATGGGTTTCATAGGAGGGTGTCATTCACAAGTTCTGAGTTACTTCTCCAGGAGTAACCAGTTAGCCAATGCCTTCCCTTCTCGGATTCTCTTGACTCGTTCCTTTCTACCATCTCTGTCGGACATCGCTGTCTACAGGTCCTCTAGATGGCATCCAGCGTCATCTACAAGTTGGTCGATGTAAAGTTGATTAGGTCTATCAACCGATCTTTTGCTGCTCATTGGGTTCCATGGAAGGCTGTCACTCACAAGTTCTGAGTTACTTCTCTAGGAGTGAACAACTAGCCGAAGTCTTTTATCTTTTAGCGAAACTGAAATAGGTGGAAGGTTTCTTTGTTGCGTGTTTCTTCCAGCTGATGTCCAATGCAACTCGTAACATCCTTGTGTATGTTCCGCCAAGTGATACTTTTGGTAATTTGTCAGTGTCTATGTTGTTGAGCCGTAGAGCAAGACAAACTATACCCTAACCTTAAAAAGTTTCTCTTAAGATTGTCAGAGAGGTGCTCAGACCATCTCGGACACCCCAGATAAAAATAAATCAAATCAAATAATAGTAATAGAGTTATCTTCAAGAAAACTCTTCTTATATTGGGCTTGTTTCAGGATTTCTCTCCATCAGTTAGTAAATGTGGTGCATATATTAAATCCATACCCATTTTAAAATTTTTAGCACGTTTTCAAATATCAAAGAATAAGATCTAGCTTTTTTGCTTTTATCGTCTATCAATGTTACAGGTAAGTCTATACTTAATTTAAATTCTTCCAATCTGCTGTTCGCTTAATATTTACTTATTAAGCATATCGACTAAGTATTCGTTTTAATAGTATTTTACATTAAATTTTCTATAATTTTCATAACATTATTAATACTATAAAGCTGTATTTAAATATTGTGATAACGGATGGAAGTACTTTAATTTGTGAGATTATTTCAAAAAGATGCCTGAAACTGCGCCTTCTCATAGAATTCGGTATTTGAAGGCAGCACAATAATACCTGCACCTACGACCCAAACCTGGTATAAGCGTTTTAAGAGGGAGTGACTTGTCCCTTAAAATAAAAACTTTGGAA